TATATATATCGTCAAATAGAACTGCCCGGTAAACCGTAGGCAGAGAGGGAAAAGAGGACAACAAACGAGGGGCTGTGACAAACTGTTTCGTCGGAGTATCATTTTCCACGTTGCGTGAGTGGTGTGGCCACGCCCGAAGTCCGTTGTTGTCATTCCTGTGGACTGACTTCTTCGACGAGGAACCAGGGACCAAGTCCCACTTGCAGCGGTTTAGTTCCCGTAGCCAGTGCTGCACGACACTGTGTGACTTCGTGTGGCAATGTGCGGCTGGTTGACAAACGACGGGTTAAATCGCGAAAAATAACAGGATTTGAACGTGCTGAATGACAGTAATGATGAAAGGCCGGTCAGTCTGGTAACCAAGGGTATGGCAGCGGCATTGTCGGGAAAAACTTTTAGTTTCTGTGGAAATACAAGACGATGGACGTTCCCCACGTCTAGCCCGACTGGGGTCAGGCTACGGACGAGGACCGTTCCCTGCGAGTGAAAGAGCTCATTCCGACTATAACAGCCAATGGGAAACCGCTACATAGCAACATTCAATCCATTCCGTTCGAAGAAAAACATAACCGACCATGCGCCCTACGATGAATGTGAATCAGCGGTCAGGAAACGTGTCGCACAAAACACAGGGTCCCGAACTGAGGACTAAACCGCTGCAAGTGGGACTTGGTCCCAGGGGCCTGGGTCCGCTGCACAACATTTTACATGTATCTGGAACGGAGTACCCACAAGATACGTTCATACAGGTCTAAGTTCTTACTCTACTACATGTAGTCCTCCTCTAATGCTGTGAAGAGCGAGGCCCCAGCAGCGTACACGTGAATATGTCCTTGTTTGGCGGACGTCATAGCTCAGTGGTTGGAGCTACCTGGCTGTAACGGGAGGTTGTGAGTTCGATTCTGTCAATCCTCAGCCTCCCCTACGCATGATTGCCCGTAGTTGGTGCTACGGAGGTTGGTACGGAGGTAGCCCAAGGTAATGCTAGAGGTGCTGACAGGGCAGACACCACTAGCACTCTCGGGGAGACTCCATCTATTGGTGGGGAGCAGCACCTGCTGGAAAGCGGGTCCATCGTCCCTCACATATGATTGAATATTGGAAGAAACAGAGAATGAGATGAACATAAACGACTGGATGATCCTACTGTAACCTCCAGAAAATAATGCTTGTAACTCCTGCTATCAGCTGCCTCTTCACTCAATAACTGGGCGCCAGATCTCACAGTACATTACTAGCAGGTCTGTAGCAACCTACTTGTCCCCCAGCCGCATTCCTCTGACTCCTGGCACGCTTATCACTTTGGGGCTCGCCACACCATTGTCGAAAGGCTGAAAAATTTGACGGCTGTCAGAATAAATTTGATAGCCGCCCTTTGGACAGTTTGCCCCCCCCCTTAAGCCACACAGCACTGTAGAATGGACGCACTTGTGAATGCAAGATGGGAAAAGACGAACGTGCCTGAGGGTACGACAAGCATCAAGTTAGTCCATCACAACCTCACGCCCACTCACCAAATTTCGAGGAGAAGTCGACCGAGCAGCCGAGGACTGTTGAAAGCATCGGAGTAGCAGGCTGGGTGGGGATTCAACAACTTTCGACTGGAGGTGTCGAGAAGCACTCTCTGACTACTTACTTGCAAATTTTCTTCCCGTCTCCAATTTTGACAGGCTGTGGGGCCAAGAGAAACTATCGTAAATCGTGTTTTCGACAGTGGTGTGGCGAGCCCCTTTCTCCTACTGTCTTTCCTCCTTCTTCTCTTCTTCTCTGTCCCTACTTCTTCTTCTCCCTCCCCTCCTCTTCTTCTTCCCGTTCTACTTTCATTTCTTGATCTTTTTCTCCTTTTTCTTCCCTCTGTTTCACTCTTCGTTTGGTTTGTTTTTTGGCTCTTACCTTGTCCCCTTCCGTTTTCTATTATTTACTTATCTTTTGATCTTTGTGTAAATGGAATGCCTGCTTGGGTGGTTGATTATGTTATCTTCTGGCTGTGTGTTCTTCGAATTTCGTTGAAGTTTCTTACGGTATCCTTCGATATGCTATTGCCAAGGTCAACCGTGATGATGCTGATAGCCGATCCAGATGTGTTCGGACGGATTCATGGCAATGGAGATGGACTCCATGAGACGGTTTCGGGAGAAAGCAATGGCTACCTTTGAAAGGCTCGCTCAGAAGATGGATGAGGTGAAGGATACACTTGGAAGGTATCACAATCCTCCACCAGCGCCAGTACAGGTTCCTTTGATGGCTGCTACTTTACATCCACATCACCCACCCCCTCACCATCCACCGCCACCTCCACCAACCCAACCGCAACCTCGCCTCCAACCATCTTCTTCGGCTTGACCACTTGTTCAGGAATATCACTATCCACTACCCGTTTCCCTTATTCCTGCATCACCTCCATCTCCATCTCCACCACCTCCTCCTCCCTCCTCTCAACCGTCCGCATCCGCTCTCCCGCGGCCTCCTAATGCTGCACTCACTCCAATACGTCGTTCCACCCTTCTTCTACTATCCCCTCTTTGGGACTGCGGGCTTGGACGGTCACAGGACAGCGTACTGCCCCTCTGTCGCAGCGTTTCGGTGTCGTCGCCAATGATGTTAGGGTCTCCATTACCCCCCCCTCCAATGATGCCAGCGGGTCTAAGTTTGTTCCTGCTCATCATGGAGAGACCCCAGGTTTGGGTTTTGACCATGTGCTTCCTGGTCAGAAAGCTGTTGCGGCTGGCGCTGGACCTCACGCTCAAGAGAGATACATAGAAGACATGAAGAAAGTGTTGACGAGCCTACCTTTGACGCTACTTCATCCTCTCGACAGCCAGTTCTCCTTGTGATTTTATGAGTAAGTGTTTGGTAAGATGTACGGGCATGCTGAGAAGTCTACGAAATATGGTTTGGAAGTCTTGGGCTAGGTGTGAGAAGCATCCCACCCCCTAACCGCCCCCCCCCCCTCCCCCCCCTTCCGTCGCTGGTGTTTTGCAAAAAAAAAAGAAAAAAGGAAGGTTTTATGCTTTGTTCTGTTATCTCTATTTTTTTGGATTGTTGTCTTGGCTTAAGAAATTTCATGATTATTGGTTGACCTGGTTTAACGACAATGAGGATTGGACTTGGATGAATTGTTTCACTTATGTGCGACTCTCACCTTGGTATAAGGCTTGTTACATCAGAGGTTTGTCGAAGACCGGTGGCAGGATTGGGGGCATGTGTATGGGATAGATTGGGAGGATGGCAAGAATCATAAGTTGAAAACTTGGTTTTGTAAGAAGTGATGGGATTATTATGTAGCTTTACCTCTTGTTGCAGTTTGTCCATAAGATCTCGAGTCAATAGAATAACACTTAATTCGTAGATGGTCTCCTGCTTTGAATACTAAATGCAAGTTATGAAAAAACAGTCGTAATAGGTCAGGGAAGCGTGAACAAAGTAGTCATCATTGAAGGCTTGGACAAGGTAATGATAGTGAGAATGTTGATAATTGTATTATTGGTTTTTCTTTCTCTTATAGATTAGGTGCAACAATGGTCGAAGGTGTACCTCTGGTGTGCATCTTATCTCAGGTTCATTCCTCAAGTCCCTTATCTGGACAATTGAGAATAACTTCAGGGGTGGTATGGATTGATGATTGGTTTGTGGGGGAACAGGTATTTGGCATTGCAATCATTAATACATGGCATCCAAGACATTATTGGGTAAATATGGGTTGCTTCTGCAGAATGGGATTACTATTCGTATCAACTATTTGCGTTAACGGTACTGAATACTCGAAGGTAAAATAACTTTCAGGTGAGCTAATCTCCTTACTGAAAGTTCCTAACTTTAGAAAGACATCGTATCGATGCCATAGACATGAATTGTTGGATCTCTATGCAGCTACACACACGTTCAACAATATCAGGCAACGACATTCAGTTAAAGGTATCTTAACCAGACTCGGAGCTTTAATCAGGTTGGTAGGTAAGCCATTAAAATCTCGAATTACAGTCAAATTGAGGTACAATGTTGTTGTTTCCAAAACTCGAGTATTACAAGTATATAAGAAGTACCCGTTTAAGATACTTTCTGACCATGGTATTGCAAACATTTTTGCACAGAGATTGCGAGTGGTGTTCCTTTACGATATGGCTGTTTCCAAAACTCGGATATTACAAGTATGTTAGAAGTATCCATTTGAGATACTTTTGATCATTGTATTGCAAACTTTTTTGCATCGAGATTACGAGTGGTGTTCTTTAAA